TATATACATATTACCATTATTCTTGACAAGTTAGGCTCTGCCACAGTCAAGGATATGTGGTATGAATATACTAAATATGATATTATTTACACATTACCATTATTATGGCAAATTAGGCTATGTCATAGTCAATAATATGTGGTGATATGATATTATTAAATTTGCTTATGAATTATTATTCAAGTTATAATAAATATTATTATTATTTATATTTAACACCCACAAAAATGGTTTACCCAGTAATGTGGTGTGAAATTTATAACTGCTTATTATTGTACCCACCGAGAGATTTATCGAGTAGTGTGGAGTGACATTTTTATTTGATTTGTTATTAAATTGTTTACGTAATGATTCGGCGAATTTTTAAGGTAATATACATGATTAATTAGAATTTTATGATCATAAATGATTAATTAGCAAATATTATATCATTAAATTTATTTTCAACGGCTGGTTAACGGTTATTTTTGTGACGGCTATTTACCAATATCTATATATAACACTACAATTTATTTTTATAATACAAACACTCAAAATATATTTTCTTTATAAGAAAAAAAAAATGTTTGATCCATTACTTATAATTACCATTATCTTGTTTATTATATACGTTTTGCTAATTTTCAAGATGATGTATCGTACTGTTAGATTTAAATTTTATGTATTAGGCATTTGTATAATGTGTTTAGTATTTGCTCTTTTGTACGTATTGAAGAATTAATGATTGTATATGTAATTTTTCGAATCTAAGCATTGATGTTTTATTTTATAGTTATCATGGCAAATCTGGTCAAACTCGAATTTGAAGCTCTCGATATATCTGGGAAAAATTATATCTCATGGACATTGGATGCCGAAATTCATTTGGCGGCAAGGGGATTAGAAAAAACAATAATCTCCCCAAATGATTCATCAATACAGGATAAAGCTAAAGCAATGATATTTCTGAGGCATCACTTGAATGAGACATTGAAAAATGAATATTTAACTATTAAAGATCCTGCGGATCTCTGGAAAGTCTTGAAAGAAAGGTATGATCACCAGAAAACGGTGATTCTCCCCCGGGCTCGTTATGAATGGATGCACTTACGCTTCCAAGATTTTAAAACTGTAAACGAGTACAATTCAGCGATGTTCCGCATTTGCTCGGTATTGAAATTATTGCGGAGAAAACATAACTGATTACGATATGCTGGAAAAAACGTTGTCCACATTCTACGCATCAAATGTACTTTTGCAGCAACAATACAGAGCAAAAGGCTTTGTAAAATATTCTGAGTTAATTTCATTTTTGCTGCTGGCTGAACAAAATAATGAACTGTTGATGAAAAATCATGAATCTAGACCCACGGGGTCTACTGTAGTCCCTGAAATAAATACTGTAATATCTAGACAGGGAACCGGAACTGAAAACAGCCAAACACATATGCGTGGATATACCTCGGGACGTGGCCGGGGTCATGGACGTGGACGTGGCAGTGGCCGTGGATATGTCCAGATCGCCGATTTGACCAAATCCACAAATTTCACCGAGGATATAACTCGGGCCGGGGATATAATCGTGGGCGAGGCCGTAACTATGCCCAAAATTTTGAAAGGGGGAGAAATTTACAACCAAAATTTGAACAGAATAATGTGACGGAGAATAATGATGAAAAGGCATGTTATCGATGTGGAAAGACGGGACATTGGGCACGCAATTGTCGTGCCCCGAGACAAGTTGTTGATAATTATAACAATTCCCATAAATCTAAAGATAAGAATATAGAAACCAATTTTATGATTGGGGAACCCTCTGAAAATGATTCAACACGTGTGGATGATGAATATGGCATCGATGACATATTGAACCTGGATTTTGCTGATGCGGTAGTTGAAGACCAAGCTGGAAATGACCAAAAGAATAACTGATGATCATGTTTTTTTTATTGCTATCTTAGCTTTGTTGTATTTGTGTGTTTTTATCTGTATTTCGACTTTAATCAATAATAAATGTTGTTTTTCTTTTAGATCATGGATCGATCTCGAATCCAAAATGGAGATATATATCTTGCAGATTGTGCAACTACTCATACTATACTCAAGGACCGAAATATTTCGTCAACTTGAAATTAAATAAAGCAAAGGTAAACACAATATCCGAAAATGCAAAGATAAAATTGAGGGTTCTGGAAAAGCCATATTTTTTATGATGGGAGGTACAAAATTTATATTGAATGATGCATTATTCTCCCCAAAATCAACAAGAAATTTGTTGAGTTTTAAAGATATCCAAATGAACGGATACCACGTTGAAACAATGAATAAAGTGGGAGTTGAATATCTTTGCATTACCTCAAATATTGCGGGAAATAAATGTGTTTTGGAGAAATTACCAGCTTTATCCTCGGGCTTATATTACACCCGCATTCATATTATCGAGACTTATGCTGCAACAAATTCAAAGTCAGTTGAAATGTTTAAACTTTGGCATGATCGGCTTGGTCATCCTGGCTCAATAATGATGCGAAGAATTATTGAAAATTCTAGTGGGCATCCATTAAAAAAATCAAAGGATACTGCAAACACATGAATTAACATGTGTCTCATGTTCTCAAGGGAAATTAATAATAAGACCATCACATACTAAAGTCAGACATGAATCACAATTATTTTTGGAAAGGATTCATGGTGATAAATGTGGACCTATTCACCCACCTTGTGGTCCATTCAGATATTTTATGGTGTTAATTGATGTCTCTAGTAGATGGTCTCACGTGAGTTTGTTATCCACTAGAAATGTGGCATTTGCTAAATTACTTGCCCAACTTATCAAATTAAGGGCTCAATTTCCAGATTATATTATCAAAAGAGTCAGACTCGATAATGCTGGAGAGTTTACATCTCAAGCATTTAATGATTATTGTATGGCAGTGAGAATTGATGTTGAACATCCTGTAGCACATGTTTACACTCAAAATGGTCTAGCAGAATCATTGATTAAACGACTGCAGCTTA